TTGTTTTTGATTCAAATAATTTTTTTATTTAATTAAGAAAATACTTGGTGCGGTGATATTTTTAATATTGTGCACCAACTATCCGTCGAATTGCAAATGTTAAAATGGCCTGAAATGCAAAAGAAGTGTTTGCTCTTCAGACTTCATAGTATTCGGAACATGTCAGAGAAATACAGATCAACCCGCCACTTATCCCCCTGGGACCCTTGGAATAGAACAACAGTCTGGGATCGTTAATTTACTGCTTACAATGGTGAGTTTTTAATATTTGGGCCTATTTCATATTTTTCGGTTCGTCGCTGAGGGCAACAAAACAATTTTTTTTTGGCCTAATATGCATCTCAATTGAAAGGCAAAATTGTATTAATCTGTATCTGAAGAGGCAACCATCCAGTATTACTATGAGGAATCAACCTACCACCTCTTCTGTACTTCTGAAGGCTTTAGAAATAGTTAGAGACCAAGTTAGCAAGTCTGACACTCTCTACAGAATGCAATCAATTGTGTTAGAACCCTGTTTCATACTACATTTAGATTTACTAGGATCCAATTATTGTATCTAAATAATCAGATACTTGTATCATGTGTGGTAGCCATCAATAACTTTTTAGACACACAATAAGCAGGTCTAAGGTTCCAATCTTAATTGTCAGTACCATGAGCAAATCTTGCATAGCATTGTAATAATACGAGGATTCAACATTGATTGATCTGCTGAGTAGTTTGCCATGACACTATGTGAATATCTAGGCAATAAACATATATTGTTTACAACTAAGAAATACATTATGATTTTATTAAAAATCTTGCCTCTGTTTTGTTTTCAGTTGCAGTTGAATCAGCACAACCAACCACAGTTTGTATGTCATGCTTTGGACCATCCGAATTACCAGGCTTCTGTGGACCTCCCAGTGATGTCTTTGCCTGTAATGGACATACATTAACTTAATTGATTTATCTTAATTTGATCGAAAAGACCAGTAAAAAAGAACAGCTGAATGTCATTATCTATTTATTTCGGTAGAATTAAGTCATTGTTTTATGGAATTGGCGGATGAAGAATATCATGTTTTATTCTAGCTCTGTTTTAAGATCTCCAAATTCAGCAGATAATTAAAACTAACAAAGCATTATTGGTGTGATTAATTAAATTAATCACACCAATAATGCTTTGTTATTCTTTATGATATATAATATATTATATCTTAAATTAACCAGTTGGTTTATGTATTTTCTGAGCTTCCGAGACATCTAGTGTGCTTTGACGATCGACAATAGCAGTTTCTACATCACTGTAAAGGCTTTCCATTATAAGGGCCCCAGATCTTGCCTGTTTTTGTTGAATTGTGAGTTTGAATTCACCTTGATTCTTGTTTTAGTGGGGTGAATTTTCTCGTTTTTTCACGAACTCATTTCTTGTCTTTTCTTAGATTGCATCATGCCTACATGTAAGTCATTAAAAAAGACTAAGACTGTGCCGACTATAGACCTACGGCACATAAGACATGTTCATCTTGCCACTTAGCGATGCCAGTTTGCAACCCCACACATGTGTTGTCACTCTTGCCTTGGTTGTGAACGGGACTCAGGATTTTGCCTTGAGGGAGTTTGTCATCTGTGGGATTCACAATCGTTGGAGCACTTTGAGGCAGGATATTGAAAGTTGAGGGCAAGTGATCGCAGAAATCTGGTAAGCGTCTCTCTAAAAAGGGGAAGTCCCCAGCTGCGGCTAGCGATGTGTCTGATTCAAAGAGTGAAAAATCTCTCTCCCCCTTGAGAGTCAAGATGAGGCTTGCCTTCTATCGCAGACTGAGGGAGACCGAGAGCCATGGTCTGACTCCCTGCTCAATGTGGCGGAGTCGACGACTAAGGCAAAACCTTCACAACCGTCCATCTCTGAGGTGGCGAAGGCATTGGTCGCTGTCTCAGAAGCGTGGACTGCGGTTCTTTCTCCGTTTACGAAGTTAGTTCCTCCGTGTGGTAGTACTGAGGCGGGCACGCCTCGCTCCACCACTCTTTCCGGGGGAATGGAGCTGCCAACCACCGCTGGTACTGACACCGGGATACAGTGTGTTCTTGCTGGGGCACTGACATCAATGGCGAGTACCGAGGTGGGGTCGGTACAGCCCTCAGTGGCTGAGCTGGTCCAATCCACCGAGACTTCATCGGTTCTTACGCAACCCAGGTTGGTTGCGCAAGTACAGGGACATACCTCATTGTCTCCCACTACCGATGTTAGTCAGGGTGAAAGGGGCGCTCCTCCCATGGTGACGAGGCTGCTTGGAAGGCTTTGCTAGTTAGCTTGGCCTCTAAAGTGGACTCCCTTCTGCATTCATGGGATACGACACAGGAGGACTGGAGGTGAGAGTCAGATACCACTCCCTCAGCAAGGGGGGCCAGCGCTTTGTCGTCTCTTGCCCCTTCCTTGTCAGGATAAGCACAGGCTACCCAGCCAACCGGAGCCCAGCTGACTCTTAACAATATGCAGCTTGTGAACCAGGCAGTGCTTGGCGCAAGACTTTTGTTTCGTACGAGGCCAGTGGAGATCCCACCTCCCCGGATGGGGGAGCTGCCTTTGAATCTCTTTTCATCGGCACTCTCCTTTCCCACCGCCGGTGTGGAGACCACTCCTGCTGGCCAACTCCCATGGGCACCTTGTATGACCCAGGCTGTGGAGGGAGTGATTGGTACCTTTCAGGAGACATGGACATGAAGACTGATCTTGGTTTTGGGTCGGTTCTGTCCCATGCCTTCTGTTGGGGGTCTCTGGTTTGGGATACTCGTTCGGTGCCACAGCCTCCTACACGAGTTCCTTGTCCCGATCCCGGTACTCATGTCTTTGTTAAGATGGGTTGGGTGGATCGGGAAGGCCACGTTGCGTGGTCATTTGACCGGCACCAGAGCCTGCAAGTGCATCGGGCACTGTGGGCAGAACTTATGCCCATTAACTTTATGTAAAGCGTTTTCTTGGCTTTAGAGCGTCAGCTTTCCCTTTTAAATTTAGACCACCTTGGTACTCGGCAACTATCCTCGGGCAGATGGGCCAGTTTCTAGGTGCACAGAAAGTCGCTATGTGCGACATCCTGCAACTTCAAACTGACCTCTTGGCAGGAGCGGTTTTGGTCAAGCGGGAGGCAGTACTGCATATGTACGACCTAGAAATAGTGCCGTATGCGAGTACCAAGTTGCAAGTCGCAAGTAGCAAGTAGCAAAATATGCCATATGCGAGGGGTAATACAAAGGCTTGTAACGTTTGCTTAAAATATAACAATAACGTACGTTCAATTGTGTTTTATCTCAGTAAAATCAAATATTTACCATGGTTATGAAATGATGTGTACATGGTTGGTTAAGATTGGCATGATGCTGTATCAAAAAGTTCGTTCAGTCGATGTTTGCTCTTCACGAAATTGCACAGGAAACGTGAAAGCACAATAATTTAATAAACGGCCATGACCAGCCAGCACACTCCGCATAACATGTGAAAATTGTTTTTTTTCTTTCAGTAAAATTAGTATGAACCCGTGGTCAGCGATTAAAGTATCATAGAATTATAATTGTAGTTAGTAACGGGTGCATGTTCACGGAAGGGTCACAGAATTCTTGTGTGACGCGCCGCCGTTTAAATGAAGACAATGGCAGGTTTCAAAAGTAGTCACACCTCGGAGAGGTGTTAAATTTGCCACAAACCCAAGTGTTAACTAGCACACAATTCCATAATACATAGTATATAATAAAGAAATAAAGTGCATGTTGAGTGATAAGTCCGCATGTTTACGAGACGTCCCTCACACATGGAATGTATTTACACGCAACCAGGATCAAATTTGAATTGAAACAAATTGAAACAAAGAAGCATCTGCCGTTGCTTGGTCAGACAATTTTCATGGGTAAATGCTAGTAGAAGACCCTCAATGCCCCAAATACTTCGACCTAACCACTTTATTTGTACAAGTAGAAAAAGTGCTATGTTTCGTTAAAACATAGACCTTAGAAAAGATAATAACAATAAAAATATACAGTTCACATATATACTCTCAAGCAAAGATCCTGGCATATTTATAGAACTTGCCAATTATATTTACAAAGGTTTATTTAACATTTAAATACTAGTTAAGTCCTTTTGTATTGTTTTTTGTACAATTCTTACATATATCTTGTTATTTTAAAACTCTTTTTTGCTGTACTTATCCTATGTAAAGCTTTTTACACGGAGGCAATAAAGTTATTATTATTATTATTATTATTATTATTACTACATGCCCGGGGACTTCACATTCAAGTATCCAACTTTCCAATACAAAACATGATTAGTATCAGCAATAATTTCTAGTACTGCCTGGATAATTGCGTATTATTAGTTGACATTTTTCTTGTGGTGTTTTTCGTCAATGTATTAAATATAAGTGCGTTGGGAAATAGCATAATTATATTGCGTGAGTGAAAGAGGCTGGTGATACTGTGTCACAACGCAGTTGAACGCGTTCTATTTATTTCCAACGCGCGTGGTCGGCGCCTCTGATTGCGTTTATTTTGTATTTTTATTTTCGAAATGTATCACTGGCTGCGTTTTCTGTTGTTACGACTCGCAAATGTCCAAGTAACATTTATATTTATTTATTTATTAACACACAACATCCCCCGGAGGGGATGAAAAGGGTTACAAATCAGATATTAGTAAAAGAAAAATAACCACATAAAAAGTAAGGGAACAAAAAGGCATAAAAAAAAAAAAAAAGATAATAATTTGAATACAAGGAA